CTCTTCTCCAGGCTGAACAGCCCCAAATTTCTCAGCCTGCCTTCATCTGGGAGGTGCTCCAGTCCCCTGATCATCCTCATGGCCCTTCTCTGGACTTGTTCCAACAGTTCCATGTCCTTTTTATGTTGAGGACACCAGAACTGCACACAATACTGCAGGTGAGGTCTCCCGAGAGCAGAGGGGCAGGATCACTTCCTTTGACCTGCTGTTCACGCTCCTTTTGATGCAGCCCAGGATACAGTTATCCCTGCTGAGAAGCCAGTGTACTTTAAAGTGTGGTTAAATATTAAATATCAGCCAGTATTCTCTTTAAACTGATCCGAAATAGTAGTAATACTGTGTTGTCTTAGTTTTATTGCATTATAAAGCTTGCGTGGCTACTTTGAATTGTAATTTCTTCATAATGACAATTTTTTATCTTTCATCTGGCCCATATGTTGTTTTCTTTATTGTAGTTCTTTCTAGTAGATTTTATTGTACTTGTTCAAGCCATACAAGAAAAGTGCACATAAAGCAAGGAACGGTGAACATGTTTAGCAGAATAATTTACCTTTACTCAATTTAAAATTGAATGTTGAACTCAGCTGTTTGGAGAAAGTATGTTGGCATTTACATATCTGGTTTATTACTTTTAGTTTTACTTGTCATTTAGGTTAGACAAGAAAAAACTCTCAAAATAAAATAAATTTTATTGTAGCTAGGGGGAAAAAGAGCTTGTGTTTTCATGATAAATTAATTTCTTCAGAAGATCTTTCTCATGACCTATTTTGTCAGCAAGTTCTTGTATCTGGGAAGATTATTTATGTTGGCTAGACCATTTCAAAATGATAGAGTGAGATTAATAATATAAATACAGGTTTTCCTTGTTCTATTGATTTACTGGGTCCCAAATCTCTGAACACTCACCCATCTTTGTCATTTTACTTTTGAGAGCAATGACAAAGAAGTTACTCAAATGTATGAGTGTTTGCAAGAACGAGCATCTTTGTTAAGTGCAGCTGATTAACAACATACTCATTGTTAACAACATAAAAAGAAATAAGTCCTGCGAAAGTATCAAAGTATCATTGTAATACTTTAGATGAATCACGTATGTAGAGTCATAATCCATTACTAGGAATTATGAGAAGAAGTTTAGAAATGTCTTTGAAATATTTTAATGTCCCTGTTCCTGTTCCATCCAAACATGCAGTACCTTAAGCACTTTCATTCAGATGTCACTTCATTCAGCATGGGCCACGCATTATCACTGTTACAGTTGGTGGGAGACTTGGATCAGGGAACTGGTCTCACTAAGACTTGATTTTATTCCGTTATTTTTTCTGAAGGACTGCGAATACCAACTTGCATATGGGTCAACAGACAGTGTTCTCATTGCAGACAGGCAAACTGCATTCTGGGCTGTCAAGATGAGTATCATCAGCAAACTGAGGAGGTTATTATTTACCTCTGGTGCTGGTGAGTCTACACCTGGAATACTGTGCTCAGTGGTTGGGGCCCTCTGCCTCCAGAAACTGGAAGAAATTGGAGGGATTCTAGCAAAGGGCCCTCTGGTCAGAATAGTTGAAGGAGCTGGGAATATGTAGTCTGTTGAGGTGAAGATCCACAGCAGACAACAGCAATTTGAAGAGTTACAGACAGGATGGAACCGAAGTCTTTTTGGTGGTGCAGAGTGACGTAACAAGGAAGAATGGCCACAAACTGCAGACTGAGTGATTCAAGTAGGACCCCACAAGGCTGATGCACCACTGGAGTAGGCTGCCTGCTAAGGCTGTGGGAATCTCCATCCTTGGTGGCTTTCAGACTTGATTATCAATGCCCCAGCTGAGCTGAGCCTGTGTTGGTGACAGTCCTGCTCTCAGTGGGAGGCTGGATGAAATGACCTTCAGAGGTCTGTTACAATTGACATTTCTCCCTTTCTGTGAATGCTAGTGTGAAGACATAGCCTAAGACCTCTTACAACATAAAAAAGGAATGTGTACTTACATAAAAATGATTTACTGATGTATCTCATGCTGAAATAGGTTTCTAAGGCAGGTTAGGTGCTGTTTCTTGTCATGAACTGGAAAGCCACCTTAACCATTTAAGACTAGTTTAGCTTTTGAACGTTAATGCTGAGACACCCAAACTTAGTTGAGCTGCATCTCAGCCTAAGCAATGTCATTTCACCTGGTGGAGTGGTAAATTTTTGCACTGTTGTCATGTCCTTCATTGCTATTATCTGCCTCCAGAACTGAAATTAGAAAGTGTTCAGATTAGTAAACGTTTAGTATTGAGCTATATTCCTGAAAAGTCTTTCTTACCATGATACAGCAATATCCTTACAGAGAAAAGACATTGTAGTAAGTTTCAAAACATAGTTTCTTTACAGGATCCTAAGATTTCTGTATAGTGTAAACCTAAAAGTACTTGAATGTGATGTTTTGTATAATTTTAGTCTTGGAAACTTAGAACATACAATGTTTTAACAACAACCATAGAATGTACAGGTCTAAATAGACTTAATTATTTTTCTCTCTCTCACACACACACAGAGTGGGTCTGTGGAAACCAGTGCTCAGTGCAACTTCCATGTCATGTTCATGTGTCCAGCTGAAGTGGTTGTATTTTTATTTGTCACTCAATCTGTATGTGTCAAGCACAACAAAAAGGGTATCTAGCCTTCTCCCAAACTACAAACTACAAATAGGGAAGTTCATAAACAGGGGGTTACTGGTGAATCATCCACATCTGCAGAAGGCTTCTTACCACTGTAGAGAGACAGGCATTGCTGTCAGTTCAAACTGATTCCCAGCCTCTGGAAGGCATACACTAATGTACTAAAAGATACAGACATACCCCCCTTAAACTCTCCCCAGGTATGCTGAGGTAGGGGAACAAAGACCTAGCTTGCCCAGGAACATGGACCTTAAACAAACACCTGAAAAGTCCAAAAAATGGTAGGGATAGTGCTTATGCCTAACCAGCTTTTGGCCAATTTTCTGATACCCGTCATAGCTGCAAGCCTTATTTTGCAGTTAGGTTGCCTACCCTGCTGCAGATGTGCAATATTGGCACTAAGTTAGGTAGTGAGGAAAAGAGGGAAGCTAACAATTCATAGTGTGGAGTAAGGACCTTTGGAAGATGGTGTTCAGAGCTGAAAAAAGTCAGGCAGATTCTTTGAATTGTAATAAACCAGTGAAGCAGTTGTTAGCAAGACATAGAGGATTAGGAAAAAGAAGTTCAGAAACCAAGTCTCAGCTTGTTCTTCCTAATTAATCAGGATAATAAACTGCACAGTGACAGGCAGCCCCTCTCAGTAGAACCTCACAAAGTCTTTGAATTAAAAGGGAAAAAAAAAATCTTCTGAGCTGCTTCCTCTGCATCACTTCAGATTGTGGCAAGAGAATTTTTCATCCAGCAGTGAAAGAAACAGGCCTGTGTTACCTGAGACTTTCCATGCTTTTCACTGGGTGGGGGTTCTCAAGCTTGCCGTTAGGGTGGTTTGAGTTTGTCAGATCTGCTGAGGACGTTGGCTAGTCTATCAAAAGATCATTCAACTAAATGTTTCATAGTGCTGAACTGCCTTAAAATCAATTCCTCTATCATGGAACTTTATGCTGTTTTAAAAGTTGTGATCCACCTATCAGCAGCAGAGTTTCCTGGATAAGCATATATTTTTTCCAGTTCCTTTCCTTCATGCACACTACAACCCCTGGCCGTAGTAAAAACCCAATGATTAACATTTTTAAAATATATGAAAGACGTAGGGTCAGGTACCCTACAAGGCTCCTGTGAGACAGTCTCCTGTCTCTGTGGGGAAAGTACTTCTAAATAACTGGCATGTCACCATGACGCTATAAAGGTCAATCTACTTATTAGGGGTATGTGTTTCATATTCTAGGTTTCTGCCATTATTTTTTTTTTTTTGCCTTTGACTCCAGATCACAGCCAAAGTTGAATCTCCTATTTGTCATTCAAGGGGAAAAATAATTTCAGAAAGCTTTTGAATAAATATCAGGCATGTTAAATTGCTTTTTATACTGAATTTGTGTAACAGTGTATCCATGCACACGTGTATGTTTGTGTGCGTGCTTTCACATGCAGATATATATTTGCTTCAGCATACCCGTTGCTGTTAGAGATGTAATCTTTTTCAGTTGTGTGTTAAAATGGAGATTTGAGAGTTGTGATTTAAAATATACTGTGCTGTCTTGCTGTAGTAGGACTTTTCCCAGTACATCAGAATTATCTGCCAACTTGATTACGTTCCCTGTGATTTCAATTGATTCTGGTATTTAGATTCTAAACAGAAACTTTGTATTACAGATTGATGCTAACACCTGAAAGTAGCTCAATCTCGAGGGATACTTTAAAGCTTCTCCTCCATGTGTGTATAAATGTGTACGTTATGCAAAATAAATTTCATGACAGCCAACTTCCCAGTGGTGGTGTGTGAATAGAACAGTAATTGTATATTTAGAGACTGTTGTTTGTTATGATGGAGTTTTATTTCCTTCACTTCTATACTTGAATATTTTGCAGAGCGTAACTGCACATTTACATTGACTGTTTGTCTTCTTTTGCCTGGGAGGGCTTGGAAGTCTTTTATGAGAAAGAAATACAGCAACTCTGTCTCTTATGGTTTGCTACCTCTAATAATAGAATATTAGAAGACTTAGATTTTTTATTTGAGTGGCTGTTGTCATTGCAGTATTGTACATCTATAAATACAAAAAAGTCATGTAGAAGAAAAAAGTCCTGCTACGTGAATACATTCAACTGGAGTCTGTGAAGGTGACAGTTACATAAATGTAGCTAAACATTTATATAGTTCTGTTTTAAAATTCTTCCTACAAAAATTCTTTTTTGAAAGTTGTTTTGCAGCTGTTTAAAAATGGGTATTGAAAATACAATTACACTTTTCATGCTTTGAGTTCTATAAGTTTTGTTATATTTGTATGCAATTATGACAGATCTTAAAATCAAGAAATTATAATTTCTCTCTTTTTTCTTTGCAGAGTCACAGTGTACACTCTGTGGGGAGCCTGAAGGTGAGCATGTTTTTCTAATAATATTTTTCAGAGCAGCTAGAGGTGAACACTTGACTCAAATGACACACACGTACAATAGCCTGGAAAAAGTATCTGAATGATGAGAACCAGTGAAAGACATTCTTCCCTATGTTAAATATCAAAAATGAATTGAATTAAGCTGAGTAAAGCACAGTACATGCTCCAGGCAGGAAATATCTTAAAGGACAAATACTCTTATTAGAGCAAAAATTGAAATATTTACTTCATACACTTTTGTGTGTTTGTCAAACTAATTTGAGGTCAGAGACAGTGTGAAGAGACATTTACGGACATCACTTTGAAGATGGAAAACAAAGAGACTGGACATAGAGAAATGAGAACATGTTTTCATAATTGATAGTACATTTACAGATAACTATGAGAGGCTAACACTTTTTAGCAGATGAAGTGAATAAATATTACTTCTGAAATAAAGATAATTAAGCAATAACTGTTTTTCAGTGCAAATACATGCCCACGTGAAGGTGTTTGGTGTTTTATTTTGTTTGTATTATTTCCAGGTGACTAATTAAATGCCAAGATGAGACCCACAATTTACCTAAATGAACATGACTTTTAAAGTAGGCCATTACTGAAGAAAATCTCTTTAATTTATTTATTTATTAACCTCGGTGCTCTTAGAAGGAAAATGTCAAAAACCTGTCCTTAGTTTCAAATCAGTCATAGGGAGTCTTTCTAAGAAACATAGTCCAAAACAGCAAATGCAAATGCAAATGCTGGAGCAAAGTATATTAATAAAATAAAAATAAAAAAAAATAATAACAACAATAACATCAACAATAATAATGATAACAATAATAATAATCTAGGCTGTTCCCAAAGTAATTCAGTTTTATTATCTTGAATAGTTTCTGAAAAAAAAAAGAAAAAAATTGGAATTTCTGACTTTTCTCTGGAGCTTTCAGAAATCTGAGATATTCTGTGGCTTGTGCTTTGCATTTTTGGTATCTGAGGCAAATTTTAAGATTATCAGTTAATGGTAGATACCATTTGCCTCTGGGTTCCATTTTTACACCTTTTCAGATAAAAAAAAAAAAGTAGAATTCAAAGTTTATATATGTTAGTATATCAAGATGAATTGCCAACTTGTAGGGCAGATGTGCCATGGTGTAGGCCTCCTATATTAATTCCAAGTAGTAAGCATAGACTTGTACATGGAATAGAAGATCTGGAGAAACCTCCCTCACTTGGTAGAAAGATAAAGGCTTCATAACTTACCCTTTCTGAGTTCCTCTGAAGCTGTTTGTGCCATTTATTGAAAAAAAAACCCACAGGCAGCTAATGGTGAGTTTCTGAACATCTACCTTCTGCAAGAAAGGTGGCAGGATGGAAGTGTATTGCAAGCCATAAATTCTGGTTGTGAAATTGGTCAACTGCAGTCTTCACTGTTCTTGTGATGGTTTGTCCTTTCTCTAACCATCACTCCCCTTTCAAAACAAGCAGTTTGTGCTGCACTTCAGGAAGCAAATGCATTTGTCTAATACATGTTGTTGCAAAGCTATGGGACAAATTGCGTATGTGTAATATAGAGCAAAAAAATAACAGATATGGGAGGGATCTGTGTCACAATACAGATTTTATGTTTCAGCATTTCATTTCACCTGTAGAATTTGTAGATGATTGTGTGTTGTGTCCTCCTTTGCAGCCCATCTAAAGGGAATGAGTTGGGAAACACTGAGGTCTCTAAGAATCTGCCTTTTGTATGAGCTGCAAAGGCTTGTGCTCTGTTTCAAAAATCATGAGTTTATGGGTTTGCTCTGAGTTACTGACAAGCACATCAGCTACCATTCTTGTCAGTCAGAGATGTTTGAAGACCAAGAGGCCTATTTTATACTGGGAGGAAACTAAAGTTGTAGGAGGCAGAGCTGGTGTTCTGATAAATCCCATTAGTGTAGATGCTTTGAGCTGCTCCGTCTTCTGGAAATGCAAGAGCAGCAATGGCGTATTTTCAGACAAGCAACAACAGTGGCCTTTGCAGAAGGGATCTGCAGTTGACACATTATGTTGGTATGGTAAACACTGTTGGGTTGGTTTACCTTTTTTTTTTTTCCGGTTAGATTTTAAGTGAGGATGGCATGTTATAAACACATCTAGCTCAGTCATTGTGCAGCCAGCGTACTCTGTTAGACTGGTGTAGCCATGAACTTTCAGGAACAGTTATGCCTATTAATTCTCAAACAGAAGTTTCTGTTCTTTCTAACCCTTGGTATTGCTTCACAGAAGTTTTTGAAAGGACCATCCTAACAAATATAATTTTCTGTATTACCAAAGCAGTGAACAAGTAAGTTTGATGGCAGCTAAGATTTCAGTATACCACTCTGTCTTCTCAAAGCCTATGCAAATGGAAGCTTTTCGTCCAGTCTTTTTTAATATCCTTCACAACTCCAATATTGAGTTACTGTTTCTATTCATGGATTTTGCCTCTCTATTTTACGATTATTCAGTTTCTTTCCTTCTTAAAGATGAACGGGCAGTCCTGTACAATATCAGTACTTCTCAACATTTGAAAAAATAGACACCTCTACACATTCTTTGATAGCACAAACTTTATCTGAACACACAGATCTGGAAGACATGGTATTAAGAAGGAATACCACTGAAGCGGGATGTTTCTAGTGAAGTCTGAGAAGAATTGATACAATGTCTGACTCTGTCCAGCATTTCAATCTGTTGCGTGTTTTAACAGAAGAAAATAAGGATGAAGATACAACTTGTTTCAGGTAGTCCTTTAGCACCATCTGCTAGTGGCAATTAGGGGAGACAAAACACTGGGAACACTGGCCTTTCATCTGACTCTCTGTTGATAGGGTGTCCTGGGTTCAGCAGTAGCAGTCATTTTTCTCCTTCTTGGTAGCTGGTGCAGTGCTGTGTTTTGACTTTAAGCCTGATGTTTTGGTCTGGCCAAGGACTTTGTGAGCCTCATGCTCAGCCAGGGAGGAGGGGAAGCTGGGAGGAAGCAGAGACTGGACACCTGACCCAAACTAACCAAAGAGGTATTCCATACCACAGCACATCATGCCCAGGATGTAACTTGGAGTTACCCGGAAGGGCTGGTGGGCTGCAGGGCTGGAGGAGGTATCCGTCAGTGCTTGGTCAGGCGGGGGGGGTGAGTTATCAGTCGGCTGGTGCTGAGGTGTTGTATTCTGTTCCCTTGTTATTTCCTTTATCATTATTATTATTGGTGGTAGCAGTAGTGATTTGTGTTATACCTTAGTTACTAAACTGTTCTTACCTCAACCCGTGGGAGTTGCATTCTTTTTGATTCTCCTCTCTGTCCCTCCGGGAGTAGGGGAAGGGCAAGCAGGCAGGGGGAGTGGGTGAATGAGTTGCCTGACTGGGTTTAAACCACGACAGTTCCTTTTTGGCACCCAATGTGGGGCACAAAGGGTTGAGATAACGACAGATCTGTCCGGATTAATAGTCACTCTGAATGCTCAGAGTGCTCACAATGCTGATTTATTGGCTCTCAAGGTTGTTCCTCTTGATCTCACAGTTTCAGTATATCGTACCTTACTTCCATCCGGTATTTACTGTATTAGTGTTTTTTAAGTGTGGGCCTTGGGCTAAGGTTTTTGTCTCATTGTACTTTATGGTAATGACTTGTAATATAATAGAATGATCGATCATGAAACTGATCTGGCTTATGTTCCCAGTGTGGTCACCACCTTTATACTTTGGGAGGTGTATAATAGAAGTGCTTAGCAATTACACATCTTTTTTCTCCTTCTCGGGTGGTCAACCTGTGAAGGAGACATTCTTTTACCCTCCCAGTCCTCCCCCCAAGGCCATTTATCGCATCATTTGAGAGTTTTGAAGTTTTTGAATGGCCTTTTAATGCTGTTGAGACTTGTTTGCTGATGGTGATGGGAATCACCATGCTAGCAGCATACAGATTGTGTTTTGCCCTCGACTGATTTCAAGAGTTAAGCAGAGTCAGGTTTGGGTCTTGTCTGGGGACCAAGAGATTTTCCCTGAGGCTGGACTGTCACGAGTGGCAGGGTGTGTGGGATAGTATGGGCAAGTACCTAGGTCAGTGGGCCCCTCCGATACTTTGGGATTTCACCACTGAACAACTGCAAAATCCAGAAGAATTAGTAAAACATTTAAATGAGGTGTTGTATTCTCTTCCCTTGTTATTTTCTGTTATCATTGTTGTCGTTGGTGGTAGCAGTGGTGATTTGTATTGTACATTGGTTGCTGGACTGTTCTTGTCTCAACCAGTGGGAGTTGCACTCTTTCGATCCTCCTCCCTGTTCCTCCGGGAGTGGGGGGGGGGTGGGGGGGGGGTGGGGGTGCCTCGATTGCTTCCAGCCCGGCACCACTCACTGGGAGTGAGTGAACAAGCTGTCTGGCTAGGATTTAAACCACAACATAGGGTCAATGTTCAGGACTTGTGATTTTAGTAGCTGAGATAAAAAACTGTGGAAATTTGTTTGCACGTCCATGGGAGAGAAAACCCAGGTTGATGTTCTTGCAGGTATTAAAGCTTTCTCTCCTGTTACTGTGATGCTGATAGCAATTTCCAATTTATTTAGAAGTATTCCATGATGAAAATAAGATTCTCTGTGTAGAAGCCCCTAATGCATTATGGCAGTGGTAGAACACACTGAGCAATTATGCAAAGACTCTTGAGTAAGTAGCAGGCAGTCCTATGTACAGTTCACTTTGTTATCTGGTACTTCTTGGTCCTGTAATCTAAACACAGACTGTAGCATTCATTCTACTGGAGATAGTAAGTGGCAAATGTCCTTTTAATTCCACAGCATTTAGTAATCAAGTCTGGCCCACCATGCATTGTGAAAGATACCAATATGCACAAAGGCTATGACTAACAATACTCTCTACTTTTCTGGGATCTATATTCACTTTAACGTCATAGAAAAAAGACTCATATTTCATTAGGAACAGTTCAGTGAAGATGTCTAGTTAGGATGATAGTTAAAGAAAACAATCAAAAT